ATCAATTTCTACTTCTTTATTTTGTTCTTTTCTCCCGTTTTTATTATTTTTATTTTTTTTAAAATATTCAAAAAAACGGTTTAAAAACCAAAATAGAAAATATAAAATATGGTGGTGTAAAAAACAAAAAGCTCTTCATCCCCATTTTTATTTTATTTTATTTTTTGAGGGGTTTCGTCATGTTGTACGGGACCGTTCACACGACCGTACGAGCAGGGCCCCATACATTGTACGGCATGTTTTTTAACAGGCAAGCCCACATCGTCGCTATCCAGTCACATTGTTTTATGACAATTGACGCGCGAGTAGTATGCTGTGGGTCGTGAACAGAACTCTCGACTCACGCTAGTTCTTGCGGATGCACGACTATCGCAATTTCCCACCATTGCAGATCTGCTTGTTTTGGCAGTAGTAGACCTTCACATCTCCTATCGAATTTTCATGGAGCAGCCCTCAAGTAGTTAGTGTTCTGCCCCTCGCATCCTGTACTAAACTGACATGAAATGGGAATGAAGTAGTATGACTCGTACTTGGTATCGAATGGCGCGAGCGGCAGGGTCTCACACAAACTCTCCCTTTAGATTTTGACTTCGGGCATGCTGCGTTCAGGCACTGCTAGAAAAACCTCCTTTATGACAACGATGGATCAGACGACAGACATGAGTCTCACGCCTCTTTCCTCATCTGGTAACTCTCGAAGTGCTCAAGACACCGCACTCTGCAGTGTTCGTTCACAGGAAGCTGCTGACATCAGCAGGCTTACTCTGTTGTGCAAGCTGCAGTGCAAATCCCGAGTTCTCTCAGTAACCCGTTTCGTGTATCTAAGCCCAACCATATCATGTTGATGACGAGAGAGAAAAAGTGCCTACAACAATAGAGTTTTCTCACACCCGTCTGACTCCGTTCATGCCTCTTCCCACTGAGAACCTTTCATCGCTCTCCTCAACCCGGCGCCGTCATTACCATGGATCAGTCCCCTCCAGAGATGAGCCCAGTTAGCCTCGGCATGCCCAGTTCTTTCACCCACAAAGGAAGACTTGTTGCGTAGTCTTCTCTCCTCTCGGGTTTATCCAACAGTGGCGCGCTTCTTCTCTCTCTCTCTCTCTCTCTCTCTCTCTCTCTCTCTCTCTCTCTCTCTCTCTCTCTCTCTCTCTCTCTCTCTCTCTCTCTCTCTCTGTGGATGCCCCTCTCTCGTGGTCCTATAACTTCTCGCCTCTCGCTTAGAGACCTCTCTCTCGCGTGTTCACCTTCGAGCCGTCTTCCTCACGCACCCCCGACGGAAGGGGTAAAGCTCAACTGTTCACATTCCCTCTGCACGAAAGTCAAGCTGACGTCAACGAACGAGGCGCGAACCCCTATCGTCCTCTCTCAGCCTCTCTCTCCCTCGTAGTGCGTGGCAGCCTTGTCGCTCCCCCCGCTGTGCCCAGTACCCTTAGGCACGACTTCGTTGCGAGCTGGCCTCCGGATCACTCTCCACAGGCTCCACCACTGGTCTAGCCCATGCCAGGACAGAGTCTTCGCTGCGCTGACCTCGCCCTCACCCTCAGACAGAGTAAGACTCGCGATCCAGGAGTTGCTGTCCGCATTCTACCGTATCGATGGAGGTCTCCACCTCATGGTAAGCGATTGTTACCTGAACCTCCACCGTAACACCATCCCTTCTGCAACGCCTCTTGTCCCGGTTCTTAGCCTCAGGAACCGCAGCCTGCAGCTTTGGGTCGCTTCTCATCTCCTCCTCTCTCGCTCCTTTCACATGAATCTTTAGCTTGGCCTTATCTCCCCCATCGTAGTTTAGAATGGTAGTAATCCAGGGCCCCTCCTCGGACATTGGGGACTAGCATGTTATCAGATTCCACCAGTCCGGCCTATAGCCGTGCAGCCTGTTGCGACAGGCCATAGCCGCACACTCCCCGAGATAGTCTGAACTGGGTACTTGGTGCGCACGCACACATACAGCCTACACAGGCCCTCACTGCTCTGCCATCCTGTCTCAGACCAGCGGTGTTAGCACAGCGAGGTAGCTTGCGCGCACCTACTAACCAGTAGCCAACAGTCAGCCCCTCTCACCCTTTTGTAGGCTCTCCCCATGCCGCAATCCCCGTGTTCTGGACGAGGGACTCAAATAACTTTTAGACTTCAGCATATTAGTAATCTGTAATTCAGAAAATAAATAATAAAATAAGACAAAGAAAAATAGAGAGAGAAAAACCACAGATCAAACCTCAAAGGTCATAGCACAAGCAGACCCTTTTGCTGTCAATCACTAGTCCCTTCATTTTTGGAGTGAAGTGATTGCAGGCTCGACGTTGTGGTCCCATAACGGGATACCGACGGGCACCCTCCTCCTTTCAAGGCTCGCCGCCGAACTACCCTTGATGGGTACCCGTGTCCGATGGTAAGGAGAGGGCTTATGACCTTCGACGGAAGGTGATAGGTCCCCTACCAAAGCGGTCACGGGCGCTCCTTTGGGGCTCCACTATGCAGCACTCGGCAGGTCGCTTCTGCGGTACAATAGGACACGAAAGGCTAGCCGGTTTTGGGCCGCCAGTTCGCTATCATGGTTAAAAAACGAACCGTTAGTTCACCGCAAAATGACAGCGGAGACTACGATTTGAAGAGGAAACAAGGCGCGCAACGCCGTAGTCACTTCCAATCCTCCGATTAAACGCAACCGCGGCCTAGAAAATGGCGCTTCCCATCCCTCCTTTCCTTTCTCTTATTTCCCCTTTTCCTTTTTCTTTTTCTCTTTCACCTTGATCGTGACTACCCCACTTATCCCATAGTCCGACTTAAGGAGGCTCAGCGCGCGACAAAAAGGCCACGCCGATCCCCTTACCTTCACTTTCCGGGGCGAGCCAAGCGGCTACCACGGCCACAGGCCAATTGTACCCTGCTGCACAGCAGGGCGCCAAGCCTGCATGGACCCCTGGGAAGCCCAGCAGCGCACCCACCCTTTTGCAGGTGGTAGCATCGACTGGACCAGTCCCGCAGCGAAGTGCAGCCCACGCAGACTTGGACATCCGCGAGAATTTGTAAGCAATTATTCAGTATACGGCGGAGGTTCTCAAATAGGAAGCCTTGCACTACGCCACGGAGGGCCGGGACACCGCACCCTCCGACAACGGACGGACATACGATTGCTTCACACAACAGTGTCCTCACTTGGATGACTTTCACATAACTGCCCTTTTTCATGCTTGTTAATTCGGCTTTTCATCCTGACCTCACCACAGCAAATCCCCCATACAACTCCTGAATAGGAGTGAACACACACACCATTACTCTCTCTCTCTCTATGTATATATATATCATCATCATCAAACAGAACTGCCCAGTAAACTGCCAGCAGAGAGGAAGAAGAGGACACCAGTCGAGGGGCTGTGACAAACTGTTTCGTCGGAGTTTCACCTACCTGCTCATCAGGAGGCTGAACCCTCGACAGTTTGCAGAATACCCTAACTGATTACACCGTAAGTATTAATCCACCTTAACCCCAGTGGTGGTTGAGCATCAACGACTGCCCGACCACTGATACCCTGAGGTGGGCACCAACCACTGCCCTCAAGGTACCTGTGACAAAAACCAAAGTAGACTATCACTCACCCACATCAGATGAAAAACTCTACAGACTGTCTGCTCACACCCCATCACAAGCCAGCAAAACACCAACGAAACATATATCGTGCGCATGCTCAATGCCAGCTGTGGTGGCAATTGTTGTACTGAGAATGCTCAGCTAGGTCTTCCATGGGTTTATCCACCTCATCCTTGCAACGCAAGTCCTCTCTGTTATTAAGGACAGACTGATTCTTGATACTTCTCTTTTCCTCTCCCTTGCCTTCATCTTCATTCCACACTCCTTACTTTGCCTTATTTTCCCTTCGTCTTTCTCTGCTTTGTCTTCCCTCCATCTCACTTTTGTGTTTATACCCTCCCCTTTTGCTCTGCCTCTTTCTCACAGCGTAAAAGTGGGCCGTTATGACACACGGGGATGCGGACAGCTCGCACTCAACTTCATCAACGTGGTGAGCCTTGTACATTAGAGGCACGGTGAAGGGGGAGTCAAAAGAAGAAGAGAAAATGTATGGTTTCATTGCTGCTCTTGCCATTGAAATGTTCCTTTGACTATCGTGTCTGTTATTTGTCTTGTACATTTTACTTGTTTGTTCTGCAAAGTGCACTCTTTTAGTTCATAGATGCGTGACAATATACATATATAAAACCACGACACTTGCTCAGCGTCAAGCATTTCAGGTGACAAACCGAAAACCCCACTTTCCAGCAAGCGAGCATTTTACCACTGCCCCTACTCTTCCTTCTAAAACATGGTCTGATTGTCGTGGCATCAGAAATTTGATTAAGAGCGACAAGGAGGTGAACACAGGGAGAGAGAGAGAGAGAGAGAGAGAGAGAGAGAGAGAGAGAGAGAGAGAGAGAGAGAGAGAGAGAGA